TTGTGGTGGTGGTGGTTGTTGTGGTGGTGGTGGTGGCTGTGGTGGTGCTGGTGGTTGTGTGGTGGTCTGGTGGTGGTGGTGGTGAGTTGAATTGGTGGTGGTGGTGGTGGTGGTGGTGGTAGTGGTGGTAATCGTCGCTGCGTCCCCGCCGTCGGCGATGCTGGCCGCCGCCAGCGCCGGCGCCAGCGCGGGGGGGGTCCAAGCCCCCCGCCCTGGGCTGCCTCTGGTCATCGGCGCTGCGTCCCCGCCGTCGGCGCTGCTGACGGCCGCCAACGCCGGCGCCGGCGCCGAGGGGGGATGGGGGGGGTTGAACCCGCCCCCCCCCCTTTGGGGTGGGACAGGGGGGGTTAGGGGGGAGGGGGGTCCCCCTGGTTCTGATCGACGGCGCCGAGTGTTGGGGGGGGGCCACCCCCCAGTTCGAAACGCGCCGCCGAATGTTCCCAAGGCAAGCGCCCGTGAAACGCGCTCTCGCGTATATTTGTAAGGCTGACTGCAACGGATGAAGATTTTTAGTATGGTTGTTGGTGATTGTGTTCGTGATCTTGGTTTTGATGCTGTTGTTAGTGATGATGACGATGGTGGTTTTGATGATGTTTCTGCTTAGTGTCTGGGCGATGACGGGAGGATCCGCGCCGTGCGGATGCGGGAAGGCGATTTTGGCAGCGCGCGCCCTCGAGTAAGCGTCCAACGTTTTGCGGGGTCAGCATGGCAGCGGGAAAGGCGGCACACGGACCTCCTGGACTGAAGCTGGACTTATCATAGGGCGGCACATTGAATTTGCGAGAAAGGGAACACACACATATATATAGAGAGAGAGATAAAGAGTCATAACTGGAGATAGCGAGCGAGAGAGAGAGAGAGAGACAACACAACAAGGAAATGCCTATAGGCTATTACAGGTGCGAGGAACTGCGAGATCAGTGGACAACCCAGTGCAGTTTATCAGTGGACAGCCCATTGCAGCTGCGAGGGTTCGGGGACAGGAAGTGGGATCGATAAGGGAATAAGGACGGCTCGCGCTCGAGGGGTGGCCACATTCGACACGCGTGAAGGGCAGCCGCTGCGCGGATCAAAGGTCGAGGTCCTCGGCGACCCTCCCCGCACGCCGTTGGGGGGAGGAGGGAGGAAAGGTGCGAGGAAAAAGGGAGAGGGGAGGCGCTGGCGGTCTTTCCCCCAGCGGCGCTGGTGCCCGTGATCACCGCCGTGGAGCCCGTGGTGCGAGGGCCGGCGGGCCAGGAGGTGCCTGCCAGCCCCGCCCCACCAGCGCCGGTTACGTCCGTGGTGGAGGTGCCCCAGGTCCAGGACCTCCTCTTCCTCGTCGTCGTCCTCCTCGTCCTCTCTTTCCTCCTCCCTTCTCCTCCTCCTCCTCCTCCTCCTCCTCCTCCTGCTCCTCGTCCCCCCCCCTCCTTGCCACCCCTGTGGTTTCGCAGTGGGGAGGGGCTGATAGATAAGGGTTACCCTGGCGATCAACCACTAGTAGTAGGCCACGACTCGGGGTTGTCCCCAGGCGGCCGAGAATCTGCCTTGGATTTGGCGGGGGGTGTTTCCCTCGTATCGTTGTTCATTTCTCATTCTTCGACAGTTCTTTGGATTTTTTGGGGGGCCAAGATCCTTTCATTTCTAATTGTTCTATCCTGGGCCTCTTCCTGGCCACTAGGGGGCCAGGAACAATTAGAAACGAGCACAATTAGAAATGAGCGCGACTAGAAATGAACGACGTGTACCTGAGGTATGCCGTCCTTCGCCAGCCTGACGTTGCGCCCCCCGACCCCCCCCCGCGCAGGAGTTCTGGGGGACCCCGATTTTGGGCCGGCCCCTGAATTTGACGTTGCCCCCGGCACCCCACCCGCGGGCGTGGGGATGAGAGGCGCGGAGGAGGTGAGCGTGGAGAGGCGTGGGGGCCGCCCGTCGTTGTTCCTGGGACGGGCCTCTCTACCGCCCCCCCCCTCCTCCCCCTCTTCCGATTAAGCGCCACCTGTGTGGACTCACTCCGTTTCTCCGTAACTCCTCCTCCTCCTCTCGAGGCGCGTCGCCCTCCCGTCGCAGCCCCTACAGGCTGGGGCCCTGGACTTGCCATGGCCATCGGCGCCCTCCTGGGGGCCACTATGATTTCTTCACGGGCGATCGGTGCGCCGGACGGTCGCAAGCTGGTCGCTGCAAAATAGCACTGGGCCCCCGCGGCCTGACTGGAAACGCGCAGCGCTTATTGCGCGACCATTGCGGTTGTAACAACAGTGGGACGCTTTGGCGCGACTTGGTTTGTCAGCGCACGCCCGTGCCCCGATGTGTTTCATGTTTTTCGGTCTCGCGCGAGCGACGCCTCGTCATTTGTCAGCGCTTCTTTCCCTTGCCCCGCGCTCCAGCGGACACCGCGCCGAATTCTGTCGGGGCGATGAAAACATTTGAGCTGCTCCTGCGGGGCCGCGGGGTCGGAGCAGGGAAGCAGGGGGTGGCGGCGCGGAGACGGCCCGAGGGCAATGGGGGCCGCCACAAGGGCGGCGGGGCGGAGCGAGGTGGGGCTGGGGGGGCGAGGGCACCGCGAACGAGGGGGTTCCGAGGGGGCCAGGAGAGGGAGCGGGCCGGATGTGAAGAGTTGGCTTGCGCGCGCGATAGGGCTTGCGCGCGTTGCGGGACGTCGCCCCCCACGCAAGGGCACTGGAACAGATTCGTGCTGGGCGATTGCGCGCGAGACCGCGCTGGGGCGACTCTAACTTCTTCGGGCGCGCTCGCCGTCTCCGCTGGTTTGCGCAGCCCCTTCCTCGCGCCTGCGTCTCACGTAGCGCGTGCCGTGCAGCTGCGCGCCATGCAGGGCATGGCCTAGACTGTCCCTGGCTGCGCTTACTCGCCGCCCCGCGTTGGCGGCGGCTTTCCGTCAGCGGCGCGGCGGAGATGCCAGGGCGCCGCGGCGCGTCTCGCAATCGCGCGTGACGCGTGGCAGCGCAGACGCAATGATATCTTTTCTGGGTCAGCCTTTCGCGTTCCGTGTGGCGCGCGCTGGGCTCGGGGCGCGCGGCAGGATTGCCAGTCGGACTTCTGCTTCCCACTGCGGCGTCGGGCCTGGCCCGGGTCTGCCACGCCGCCCGCGGAGTGTCGGGGCGGGCGTTCAATGCAATGCGCAACTGTCTTGCGCGCCGCGCAGGTCGGGGGCCCAGATTGCCGCGACCCCGCGCCGCGGGCGCGCGTGCTTAGCGGGGCTGGCCGGCGAGCCGCGAGCTCCGTTGGCGCAGGGGGTGTCGTCCTGGAGGTCACGACGCGCGCGCGCCGATGCGGGCTCTAGGAAACGGTCAGCAATGGCCGCGGGGGCGCTGGCTAATGCCGGGCAGAATTCCAGGCCCCCTTGCGACGGAAGCGTGGCGCTTCCGCCGGAGCGTCGTCCCTTCAGTTTCTTCCCCTGAGTCTTCCTTCGATGTTTCCGTTGGACCGTTGCGAAGTCAAGTTGGGTCTCATTTTCCAAGCAGCCATCCATTGCGAATGCCGCGAGGATCAGCATTCGAAGCTTTGGTCCATGGCGAAAGCCGCACCGCCCTCGTCTCCGGAACCGCGATCCGTTCTGAATGCAAAAGGGCATTCATTTTCTCACCCGCGGCCCACTGCGAACACCGCGAAACGTTCAACTTTCGCGGCAGCGATCCATGTCGAACGCCAAAAAGGGTTCTTGTCAGCGCGCCCGCGACAGCTACCAGCTCTCGCCCGCCAAGGCGTGGAGCACCTCGAAAAACGAATGGTTTCCCTCGTCGTAGCACCGGTCCAACGACGCGCGTGGAAGTATGTCTTTGCATCTCATGGTCTACATAGCGCTGCGCGCGGGGCGCGCCATGCCCGCTCATCGCGCAACCCGCGGGAGAGGCAGCAACGGTTCCAACCTGCGCAATGGTTCGATGCACACCTCCACTGCGAAACTTCATGTAGTTCTCATCTTCGCAGCAGCGCTCATCTCCGCGGTGAAATCCAAAAGGTTCTCAGATTTGCAGCTTCGGCCCATCATGCCCGAAGGCGTGCGCTTTTGCGAAATTCCTGAAGATCCGTTCTGCCAACGCTGATGCACTCGCGCGTGCAGCAATAGTTAATGATGTTCGTGGTGTTGAATGCGATCTGGAACGGTGAATGCGCACCAGGTAGTTCAATCTTTGAGCAAGGGGATTGGGTAAGCGCGCTGCCACAAGGCATGCGGTTCTCACTCTGGGTTGCGCGAGACCCGTTGCGGTCGTGGAGCGAATCCCCTTCTTAGGATTCGGCGCGCCATATAACGCCGCGCGCGCGAGGTGCGCCCCCGCCCCCCCCCCCCCCCCCACCCGTTCAGCGGGACCAGGAAGGCAACGCTCATTAAACACTTGCAGACGCGACCGATGTAATCATCTACCTATAACCAACACTTGAGCGTAGGCAAATCCTCACACTTCCTCATGGTCTTTGATGCGGCGCGCTTGCCACGTCTCTGCATCCGTAAGTTATTGTATATTCATATGTCGAAAACCGGCCAATATTATGTATGCTTTGTCGCTTCCGCGTGCGAGTTGTTGGATTGACTTTAAGCCGGTGCGATTCCTATGATTGCTCGTGCTCCTTATTAGCGGCATTGACCGTTTGGAATATTCTGCTACTTCGTACTGGGTGGTCGGACTCCACGCATGTGCAGACATGTTCGCGATGTGCTTGCGCCAAATGTGACAAATCGCGTCAGCTAGTACATGGTGGTCGTCGTAGTCATGCAGTGTGCGTGTTATGGAAGTAGTGCGACAGTTGATCGTGAACCGTTGATATTGGGTGCCGCGCTGAGCCTGTCGATATGCGGCGCCGCCCCCTGAATTATTGAATTTGTTCATGTGATGTGAAAACCCGGGGGATGCAGAAGCCCTTGTTTGATGTTGCTTGGGCAGGTTCCCCCCGCTGCTTGGCTCGAACTCTATGCGCGTGCTTGCGCGGGAAGGTGAGGGGCATTGTTCGGGCGATGTCTCCGGTTGCCATGGTCTATACTCAAGCCTCTTTTTCTTTCTGCAGAGATGCCGATGGCCCCGGCAGGCAGCGCGGCCAGGCCCCCGCTCGCGGTCTTCGCGGCGGGGCTCGCCTGGATCAGCTGGCGCGCGGCCGAGGTCGGCTGGGCGCCCGCTGGGCCTTGGTCTCCGCCGCCGCCTCCGCCCGCGGTTGCGCTGGCGGCTGAGGGCTGGTGCCTCGAGGGCGCGCCGGCCTGGCTGGAGGCAGTCTGCCCGCCAGCGCAGGAGTGCCCGGCCTGCCCCGCTCGCGCGCGCCCGCAGGTGGACCTGCCTGGGCACTCGGAGACGGAGCTGCTGATCTGGCTCGTCGGCTCGCCGCTGCTGACGCATCTGATCGGGTGCGCGCTGAGCTGCTGGCGAGGGCGAGGCCGCACCGCTGCGGTAAGGCATGGCGCTCCTCCCGTTTGGCGAGGAGGGGGGGTGGCACAGTGATCTAGTGCCGGGACAGTACGTCTCGATGGAGTACGAAGGGGGCGAGGTCGACCATGAGCGCGTCTTGCTCTTCCCTCTAGGTGGTGGGGCCTGGTGGATCGGGACTCCCGATGTCGACGAGCACTTTCAGGGCGTGGCTTGTCAGGACGCTAGCGACGGCCCTTTGCGCTGCAGCCTGCTGCCGGCGGACGGCTCGCCCCCGCCCGCGCGCCGCGGGCGCCGGCGTCGGCGGCTGCGCCGCTTCGCTGACAGGCTCGGGCCTGTGGAGCTGCGCGAGGGCATCCTGCGTGGGCTGCGAGCCTGCGAAACCGAGTGCCGCGTGGGCCAGCGCCCCGTCATGCCGGAGCTCGCGCGTGACCCTGGCGGCGAGCTGGCGCCGATCGTTCGGCTCTTTGGCGGCTCCTTCCCGCCGATGGCCCCGGGCCGACGCGCGCGCGGCAAGCAGCCGCGGCCCGAGCGGAGCCGCCGAGGCCCCCCGACGCGGTCACAGGCACCGACGCCCCTCCGGCCGCGGAGGGGGCGACGGCGCTCGTCGCGCGGCCGCTGCCGCCGCGCGCTGGTCATGCCTCGGCGCTAGCGGAGCCGACCCCCATCCATGGCCATCGGCAGCGAGGTGGGCGTTCGCAGAGCTCCCTTCGTCGAGGCGACTAGCGGGCACGGGTTGGCTTTTTTGGACGAGGGATACGCGCGGGCGGTGCAGATGCGGATCGAGGACATACCTATACCTGCCTATGCTGAGACACGGGCCGCCGGCCTACGCCAGCTGCTGGGCGCTGCTTCTGCTGGCGCAGGGGTTGGCCTTCGCGACCGCCTCGGCCGGCCGCCGTTGTCGGGCCCGGAGGAGACCCCCTCGGCCGCCGAGGCGGTCGCGCCGATTGAGGGCGAGGATGTCAGGCTGCTGGCCGCGGACTTCGACGGGCAGGGCGAACGTTTCAAACCCTGGCGCGAGGCGGTCCACGAAATCACCCAGGAGGAGTTCAGCGACCAACCCCTGGACGCGCCACCCAGCGCCCTCGCGACGTGCAAGAGCATGCCGAGGGTGGGAGGCGACCCGCGGCCGTGGCACAGGCAGTATCTTCGTGAGATAGCGTCGCCAACGCGGATCGAGTGGCCCACGAGCTGCGCTGCATCTGCGAGGATTTGTACATGGCCGGCTGCTACGACCAGGTGAACTTGGGAGGACTGATGGTGCTGGAGGTGCTCTGCAACCGGCTGGCTGGCATCGTTGCCGCTCGCTCCAACCCGCAGCGTGTGCAGTGGGAGCTGGCGAAGTACTACACAGGAGTGCAGTCGGCCGAGCGCGTTGGGGGGCCAGCGATGGGCGCACGTGGTGCGCAAGATGCGAGAATATCGAGGAGGTCAGCAGGCGCTGCGTGGCGCCCCGACTGGAGGCCATGAGAACGGCTTCGGCGGTGGCGGAGGCGGCGGTCGGGGCGGCGGCGGCGAGGAGGGCAGAGGAGGCGGGGGCGGCCGAGGGCGCGGGGGCGGCGGGCGTGGCCGAGGCCGCGGCGGCGGCGCCCCCGGGGCTCAATGACGGGCCCGCTGGCTGGGGGGGCCCCCCGGCCCCAGCCGGTTTTCAGGGGGCTGGCGGCCGCCCCGGACTGGCGGCCTCGCGGGGGCAGCGGGGCCTGTTCCCGCTTCCTCTGCTGGCGCCAGACTCGGCGTGCCCTGGGCGCGGGCGAGGTCGTCTGTCTATGGCGAGTGACGCGCTGAAAGCATTGAACTGGATGGCAGGCAGCAAGGGTTTGTTGTGGGCTGATCGCGGCCCCGACGTCGTGCCCGACTCGATGCAGGCTGACGCCCAGGGAAGGGTGCGTGAGTTGGCTGACAGCTGGCACCCGCGCCCGTCCCACCTCAGCGACGAGGCGGCTCTGAGGAAGCTGCTTCAGGGACACTCCCCGTGTCGGGCGGCGGGTTGTCCGACAAGGGCCACGTCCTCCAAGCTCGACCTCGTGAGTCTGCTAGGCTCAGTGCAGGAGTGTACACTAATAAGGGACGTGGCGCCCCTGGAGGTCATCGGATTCTTGGAGGACTATCAAGAGCGCATGCTGGCGCCATCGATTGACGTGTACGAGACCGCCCCCTACTTCGATCCTGTCCTGAAGTTCAATCAGAAAGAGTATCATCGCCTGGCTCCGCCGTCTAGCGGAGATCGGCATCGCATCTTGGGCGCCCACCCAGAAGTGCCAGGTGGGCCTCTTCACGGTGGAGAAAGACGGCGGCGCGGCCCAGCGCCTCATCGTCGACGCCAGGCGGGCCAACGAGTGCTTCAAGGCTCCGCCAGGCGTGTCTCCGCTGTGTTCGGAGGAGCTCTCCCGCGTGGGGGTGGAGCTGCCTGCCGACGCGCCACTGGGTTCCGAGCGGGCTGTCGAGCTGCTGAGCGACTTCTACCTGGCGGTCGGACTCTCCGACGTCTCGAACTGCTTCCATCGGCTGCGCGTGCCTGCGTGGCTGTCTGACTAGCTCTGCCCCCCCCCGGCGCCGGCTCACGTGATGGGGGCGACGGGCGTGGAGGTTAACGGCGGCCGGCTCGGCCGCGCGGAGGCAGTGACTCCGTGCTGGGCCGTCCTGCCCATGGGCTGCAACTGGAGTTTGTGGATCGCGCAGATGATCAACGAGGCCATGGTGACGAGGGTTGCGCCCTCTGCGAGGAGTCTGTCGGCAGGGCGCTCGAGCAGCTGGGGGGGGGCTTCAACCGCGAGAGCCTGCTGCTGCACAAGTCTGAGCTCTCGCGGGCGGGCATCGTGGCCTTGGGCACGGAGCTAGACGGCACCGCCTTGAGGACGCGGGTCACGCCTCAGCGCCTCTGGAACATCTACGCGGCGCTGGAAGAACTCTTGAGGCGCAAGCGGGCTAGCGCCTGGTCCGTGCAGGTGGTCCTCGGCCACTGCACTTTTGCTGCCCTGTGCTGCCGAGGGCTGCTCAGCGTCTTCCACTCGGTGCGCGCGCTCGTGGAGCGCGGCCAGCTGGGCTGAGCCGCTGTGGGAGGAGTGCCGAGCGGAGCTGCGCGTCTTCAGGTCTCTCATGATCTTCGTGGTGAGCGACAGGCTGCGTTGCTGGAACGATCTGGTGGTGCAGATCGACAGCAGCCTCGAGGGCTACGCCGTGGCGCAGGCCTTCTGGCCCCTGGACGCCGTGAGGGAGGTGGGCCGCACCTCCGAGCGCCAGCGCTTCCGGCGAGTCGGGTCTCACCGTGCCCGAGAGAGCGCCCTCGAGACCGCGGGATTCAGGCAGCAGGCGGGCGGGGGCTGGTCAGTCGCCTCGGGGGCAGATGAGTGGGACTGCGACGAGCCGCCCTCGGAGGCGGCGCGAGACTGGGAAGTCGACGACCAGTCTTTCCCAGAGGTGCCCGCCAGTCTCTTGAAGCCAGATCTCCGGCGATTGGTGAGAGTGCAAAAATGGAAGAGAGTCGAAGGCATTCTTATCAAGGAAGCTCGAGCCTTAGTGAAAGGATTCGTTCGTGTTGTGACTAGCGCACACGTCAGTGATATGAGACAGTTGCTTCTCTGTGATAATATGTCGGTCACCCTCGCTTCTGGCCGGAGTCGCGCCAACAGTTTTTTGCCCCTGTTCCAGATTCGCGCTTTTCAGGCCCACTGTTTGGCCAGGAATATCCATGGCTCCGTTCGTTGGACCCCCAGTTGAACTTAACTTCTCGGACAAGGGTATTCGAGGTTTTGAGAATAGCAGTGTGTAGTAAGACGTTGGTCGATGAGATCCCTTGTGCGAGTGTCCAAGGCAACAGTTTACAGGAGATGGCTGAATACCCACAATCCCCGCACCATTGTAACTCAGCCACTCCTGTTCAGGCTGCCCCTCGTTGCAGGCCCGTAGGCATGTTGGCCCAAGATGTCCCATGTTCTCTTCGTATTTCTTCCGAGCCCACGGGCTATTGCAGTCATGGCGGCCAGGGAGCGGCAGGCGAGCTTGCCGCCAGCGGGGCCTCGGCCGACCAGGAGCCAACGAGGTCACGCGTCTCTGGCCAACCAGCGGAGGACGACGCTCCGCCCGCAGGACGTCCAGCTGGCCTTGCGCGATCGCTTGGGCTGCAGTCGCCAGGAGCTCGCCCTCCCCGAGAACGACGAGCAGCTGAGCCGCGGGCCGACGCTGGCCGACGTCGGCGAGAGCAGCAGCACCGACGACGAGGCGAGGCCTGGGCCCGGCGCCGGTCGGCGGGCAGTGCTGAAGCGCAGGGGCCACCAGAGGCGACGCAAGTTCCTGGACCTCGCCCTCGCGACCGCCGCGCTGGGAACGACCACCTTCTTCGAGCCGAGCTCGGTGACTCCGAAGGTGCTGGAGCGATGCGAGACCGAGGTCGGCGGCTTCATCGGCTTCGTGGGCAGTCGTCCACTGGTGCGCGACGAGAAGGCAGACGCCACGCTGGTGGACTACTTCAACTTCCTGTTCTCCATTGGCTGGGATGCGAACAAGGGCGAGCAAGTCCCGGCTGGCCCGGTGTGCCTGGCGCCGGAGTTCTCGCGGGCTGGTGGCCGCCAGCTCCGCCGGGCCTTTCGCTGCCTGGAGGGGTGGCGGCGACGGGCGCCGGGTCGCGGTCGGCGGAGCTGGCCGCTGGCCCTGTGGGCCGGTATAGCTTGGCGGCTGGTGGAGCGGGGATTGTTGCAGATGGCTGCGTTCCTTCTGGTATCGAGGCCGAGCGAGCTGATGGGCCTGTGTCGCCGTGACATCATTGCGCTTTCTGCGGGGATCTCCCCATTCTGGAACCTGCTCCTGTTCCCCTCGTAGCACGCGGAGCGGGGCAATACACATCTCAGCGATGTCAGTATAGTGATGGACCCCCCATATCTGCAGCTTCTGGGACCGATCCTGAGAGTGCTGGCCAGCGGGGCACGGGAGGAGTCGGTCTGGACGTTCACGTACCCGCAGTACCTGATGGAGTTCAAAGCTGCGCTGGCCGAGCTCGAGATCAGCGAGACCATCGGGCCGTATCAGACGATGCACTCGGGTCCGTCGATCGACATCGCGCGACGCTACCGCACCGCGTCAGAGGCGCGGCGCCGCGGCCAGTGGGCAACCGCGAAGAGCGTCCAGCAGTAGGAGAAGGGGGCCAGGCTGGGAGAGAGCTGGGAACTGCTGTCAGCTCCCGTGCGGGGGCTGCTCGAGGCCTGCGAGGCAGCGCTCGAGGACGTACTCGTGGGCAGGCCGCACGGCGTGACGCTCCCCTGGCGGGCCACTTCAAGGGTCGGTACATCCTCGACCTCTACTCGGGCACCGCGGGGGTCGCCCGAGCGGCGGTCCAGCAGGGCCGCAACGCTCGCGCGTTCGATCGTGCCCGCGGACCAGCAGAGGACATGACCAGCGATAGAGTGCTGAGCCGGCTGGGCGCTGCGATACGCCGAGGCGAAGTGCTGGGGGCAGCCATGGGCCCGCCGTGCGACGACCGGGGGGGCGCCGCGGACCTGGGGCGGCATGGCCCAATCCGCTGTGTGGAAAAGCGCCGGGGGCTGCCTGAACCCCTCCTCATGTCTCGCCAGTGCGACAGGCGCAGGCGAGGCAATAAATTTTCAGATGTGCTTTGCGTATTCTTCGTGTGTTGTGTCGTAATGGGGTTCCGACCATTCTAGAACGCCCGATCTTGTCGCGAATCTGGCACGCGCCCGAGCTTGTGAGTATCATGCAGCGATATAGGGGACACACCAGAGTTTTTGACCAGTGTCAGTTTGGGCGAAGCTGGCGAAAGCGCACGGAGCTGGCTTTCTTTTCCCATAGATACTGCAGACACCGAAAAATTTGATCGCCCATGCAAGGGCAGCCTTGGTTTTTGCAGTCGAACAGACCGCGAGCATTTCGTGATAGAGGGGGCGGCACCATCAGGCATGAAATGGACCGCCATCGCAGCCTCCTACCCTCCAGCTCTGCGCAAGGCCATGGCCCAGTCGCTTCTTTTCCCATGAATGCGATCGGGTCGCTACTCTAGCTTCTGGCTGGCGCCGGCCTTCTGCCCCGCCACTTTTCAATGCGTGTGTTTTTTCTTGATGCCCTGTCCCGCCAGTCCATGGGTACCTTCAAGCATGGGTAGCCCTTTTCGGGTTTGGAATGTCGCGAGCGGGAGCCATCTCGCCTCTCAGGCCCCCGCCAGTCCGTGCACTGACTGGCTGGCGTCCAAGTCGCGTCGACGCGCGGCACCTTGTAGCAGAAATTACCCCCGCGAGAAAAATGCAACAGCACCTGTGTGTGCTTGCGCGGGAAGGTGAGGGGTATTATTCGGGTGATGAGGGATGACAACTTACGCAAGTTGAGCGATGTTCCGAAGTATTGCTATACTTTCTGCGCATGTGAGGCTTTCGTTGCTGCTGGGGCCGACCACGGCGACAATGAGCGGCCAGTTGTGGGGGTGTCCTCTTGGCGCAGAGCCCCCGCCCCATCGCGTTTTTTTTTTTTTTTTTTTTTTTTTTTTTTTTTTTTTACAATGCGCGATGTCGCCATGACTCTTACTTTCCTTGCGAAGAAGTGGCGAACGAAAGTGGCCAGCTCTTGGCCCACACCCAACCACGAAGGGTTAATCAACACGGTATGTTTGAATGAGTTCTTTGTGGGGCCCCATCAACGCACTGAATGTATTTGTCGCACGCCAGGCATTTCGAGGAGGGTAATTTTCGCCGGCCTCTTCCCCTTCGTTCTCCGCGTTTGGCCGCGGGTATTTCGAGAGTTTTGGTTGTGTACGGCAATTGCCTGATCATTTCAAGGTTTGGTCACCTGAAGCGTATAGTCGGCGTTGTTTTGAACGCCGTTGTACCTCATGGGTGAGGGTTCGTAGGGGTTGTAATTTTATCGCTATAGCCCGCCCGCGGTATATATCTCACTCGCTCTCTCTCTCTCTCTCTCTCTCTTTCTCTGTCTTCTGCTGTAGCAGCATTCCCTAGCAGTTTGTCTTTCACGCTCTAATTCTGGTCGAAGCTTCACAGTCCTCTTGTCGGGTCCTCACGGTGGCGCGTACTGGGCCAGGCAGTGGTGCGTCCCATGCTGGCACCGGGAGCACTACGTAAGTGTTTGTTCGAGGATGGTTCGTCAGCGCCCCAGGGTTCCCTGGAAGCATCATGTTTTGACTGTGCTTGCTATGGTTTTATATTCAAGTGGCCTTCGGCCAGTGCCGCCGATCCGGGTCGCTCGGGGTTGCCCCCCAGACGCAGACATTACGGGCACACGCTCAAACACACACACACACACCACACGCCACACGCGCACATTATTTTGTCGCTGCCTTTGGCCAGTTCCTGGCCGCGCCATTCTGCATTCGCGCGCGCGCGCCACCACGATCACTTTCCACAACATTACCATTATCGTTTCTGCTCACCACACCGACTGTTTATTTGTCTCTCGCGCGAACACGCCGCGCCCGGCACTCGCGCGCGAGCACCGTGCACACGCGCGCTCACACGCACGCGCGCCCACATGAACACAAACACGCGACACACATATGGACACACACCACCACGACCCCCCCCACCCCCCACGCCACCAGAACCCACGCCACCGGAACCCTCCCCCCCCTTTCTCCCCGGCAAACCAAGCGTTCTGAGTGTTGTGTTTCCGATGGCGCCCTGTCAGGAATTCTGCGCTCCTAATTGGATCCCGATGGACTCAATCGGAATCGCAGCGCTCTCAGTATCAGTGTTTTCCTTATCAGAACGATCCCGATCGTAAACGCAGCGCTTCTTTTATAACATGTTGCTCCCAGTGTTTTTGAAGCTCCATGATATTGCACTCTTGGACGCTCAAACGACGCCTTGCGTTTTGGACGAGAGGCTTGCTGAGACAATTACCCTCCTGTGTCTTGTAGGCCCTGAGGCTTAAGGACGGAAATCTCCCCTGTGTTTTTATGGGTCGCAGATACGGTTCTGCGAATCAAAGTGATTTTTCTGTTTCGGTGAGGGCGAGTGACAGGGAGAGGGTGGTCTGGGTCCTGTTTCGGTCTGGGCTTCCTCCTCTTCCACGTCATCTTCAGTCTCGCCGTTCATACGACTATGGGATATGTATCATGTCCCTCGTTCGTGCTTGCTGCTACCTGATGTTAATACTTGTTCGGGCTTTCGCAACATCTGCATATATGTTTTGATAGTCAGCGTCTCGTAACGCGGCTTAGCCTCGCGAGACGCTGGCTCGTCACAACCCATCCACATACACAGCTACTGTTGCAGCTTTGCTGCGTCGGGTTGCAACTCTTCTTACTTGTCTCTTATATCTGTGCTTAGCTTTTCATCTGGCGTCAGTCTCCTTCTCATCTCGGTTCCTGTGCAGTCAGCCTTACTACCTATAAGGCCGCCCCTGTTGTGAGAAGGGTGAGGGTGGTGCTTGAAGTTTTCAGTTTCTGGCGGTTTTGCGTCAGATGGTTGTACTTGCGTAGCGAAGGATCAAATTGTCAAGCTAATGCTCCAGCACAGATAGTGTCCAACTAGCGAGACATCGAACGGTGTCACCATCACCGATCCGAAAACGAATTGGGTAACGACCTGTCTGTTTAACTCACTGGCGATATAAGTAACGATTTACCGAATTGTCAGACTAAGGATCCGACAAATCCCCAACCAGTGCTTGCACTTTAAGGTCTTACTTGCGCTGCAAGGAACTGGCCCTGGGTGCCGGTGCTGGCGGTTGTTGCGCGGACCGCTGTAGCCTTGCTTGGACCGCCAAGGTTTCCTGGCCCGCTGGCCCTGTGTGTCGCCCATGGCCGATGCTGTGTAGACCGTTGTGGCCATGCTCGGGCCGCTCCGTCGCCTGTTTCTTGGCGCTTCGGCTGCCGTTCGGACCTGGGGCGCCTTGGGGCAACTGTGGGGCAGCTCAGGGGGACACGCGCCTAGCAGGGGGCGAGGAGTAATCTGACGTACGTGCCCCTCGCCAGGGGAGGATCTCTCGCGCAGGCGCAGCTTCGCCTCGCGCACATGCGCGGCGCGAGCCGAAACCGGACTCGATTTCCCAGGGGGTGGGGGGGGGCTCCCACATGCCGATATGCTTCCGATGAGCTTCCGAGACCGCCGCCCGCGAATGACCAGAGATGTTTCCGCCTCCAAGCGGAGCCACCATCAACGAAAGAAACCACTCTCGGTGAATACGTCTTGTAATTCTGAGAAGCTTGAAGCAACAATGCGATGCCGTGAGCTGCGGAGGATATTCTTCTTTGTGTTCCCATCTTGTCAAGATTTGTTTGCTTGCGCTTGGGCTGGCAGGCTCAGCAAATCGCTGGCCGACAGCAGGGTGGGGCGATCCATCTGGCGCCAGTGGACCGCGAAATAACGGGCATGAGGGTACCAGGCAGGGAAATATTGAAACCCAAGGTGTAGCAGATGCAGGCGTAGGCATTCGGCACCGCACAGGAGCATGGCGTGGTGGTTGAGGTTCCCCAGGTCGAGTTCCACAAACTGACCAACCTGGTCCCAAAGGTGACAGTGGTTGAGGAGCCGACGCTGGTTGACGTGCCCTATGTGCAGACTGTGACCGAGGCTCGCCCCAATCTAGTGCGACAGGACTTGCAAAGGCACGTGCCTCGTCTGACTGTCCGCGAGGAGCTTCAAGTGGTGCCGAAGCCAGTGACACGGGTCGTGGAGGAGACCGTGCAAGTGCCTGTGGCATCGCCACCAAGGCCGATTGTGCATATCAAGGCGAAGGTCGATGTTGTCGAAGACGTGCAACAGGTGAAGGTGCCCACCCAGGTGAGCTCAGTGCCTAGCTGGCCTTTGGAATATATGTGTACACATGATGTGAATGTGGGTGTTGTCCCGTGCGGAGCGAACCCTCCCGCCCTCCGGATCGTTCATCCTTGGTTTCGTGCTCGTGGCACCGCCAGTGCGGGCCAGTACGAAACCCATGGGCCACCCATGAGATGCACGAAACCTTCGGGAGGACCTTTCGTGCACCGCCAGTGCGGGCCAGTACGAAACCCGGGATGCTTGGAAGCCCTGGGACTCTCGCAACCTCCAGATTCCCCACCCGAATTGTCAGAATGTTCAGGAATCGGCAGGTATCTTAGTACCTTCAGGTATCTTCAGGATCCCTCAGAATTCCTTCTGGAATCCTTCAAAGATACCATTTGGAATCATCCTTCTGGAGCCTTCCAGGAAGCCTTAGGAAGCCCGGAGGAATCCTCAGGAAACACTCAGGAATCCCAAGGAGTCGTCAGGAAGCATTCTTAGGAGTCTTCCGAAATCCTTCAGAGATCTGTCAGGAATCCCCCACGGATTCTCACAATCTTTCTGCCCGCAAGGATGACCCCCCCCAACGCCCACAGGGAGACCCACCACCCACTCCCATATTGGGGGGGCAAGGGGGCGGACCCACGGCGGCACGTGGCGCGCCTGGTACAAAGCCCACGGGAGGGCGGGCGGAGGGGGGTTTCGCGGGTCGTCGGCGGCACCCAGTGCGACCAGTAGGAAGCATTCGGGACTTTCTTGGGGGGGTTCGTGCCACCGGGCGCCGCTCATGCATTCCCGAAAGGGCCTCGCCTTCGAGGGTCGCAGGAGTTGCCGTCTCTTCCTCGGCGGAGGGCGGCGGAAGGGCGGCGGAAGGGCGTCGGAAGTAAAACGAGGGTGGCCCTGCCTGCGGAAGCCGTCGGAAGCCGGCGGAAGTAAAAAATGCTTCCTCAAGAGAAGGCATGTTTTTTTGCGTTCAGTGTTTCCAGAACCCACCGGTTTGCATGATATGATATGATCGGTTTGCATGATTTGCCCCAGCAGCGGTTTGAGGGTTCTAGAAGTTGTACGGGAATTGTCGTCGTGACTCTTTAGGGGTGCCCTGGACTGGGGCTCTTTGCGCTCGCTCTGCAGTTGGGGTCCACGAGAAGGTCGCCCCTGCCAAATCAAGAGCGCCCTGAATTCCTCTCTGTCTTTTCTCGTGCCTCTGCATGTCTGGGACAAGGGAGCCCTCTGTAGATGCCTTCGGAAGAGCCGGGTCTCCCTTTGAGATGCCCTCAGCCACGGGCCCCGACGGCGCCACATGTGGGGCTCAGAGAAGTGCTCTGGCCTCAGTGCTGGCCGCGTCGGGGTGGTGTTCTCGTCTCAGCGCTTGCCACGTCCGCAGTTTAGACTGTTGTTGCTCTCGGGGGGTCGCCTGTGACAGTCCTGGCTCCACATGGTAGCTTTGCTCCTGCGCAGGCAGCACTCTCTGATCAGAGCAGTGCTCTCGCCTTGAGGCTAGCCGCATTGTTGCTGGACTGTGATCTCACCTCAGCGTCGGTCACATTTCTGAAAGTGTGGCTCTGGCCCTGGCGCCGGCCATGTTTTCCTGGCAGACTGCGCAGTCTACGTAGGACACCGCTCCGTTGGACCGTTACTCGGGGGTACGAAATTGGTACGGAAACAAGTGGCGCAAAGTCCAGCAGCAGTTCCTGTTCGTTCTGAACAGAATTCGCTGTCGGCGTCGCCGCGGTCGTTCGTTGTCCATTTGAGGCACGAGCTCGCCTGCCCAACAGCAGCCGCTGCCAGTTTGGGGAAACATCAGTTGTTGGGCATCATGCCCATATTTTCCGTGCCCGCCTCGGACGTCCAAACTTTCAGGGGCGCAGGGACGTGGCGACGGCTCCACGCTTGGCGGCGCCCCGGGCCGCGGTGATGGGCGAGGTGGCATTTCGATCTGCATGGGGCGTCACCCCATTGGACCCCATTGGACCCATGGGGGAGAGGCCTACAGTCAACCCGCCTTAAGTCAACCCGGGTTGACTGTAGGGGGGAACGATTCGAGTCCCAATCGCTCATTTATCGCCGATAGGGGGGTCCGATGGCCCCACCCCGCCCAGGGACGTGCGGGTTTCCTAATCGGGGGCACGTCGCCGATTTGTCGGCGATGCATCGCCGATTCCAGGTCGAGGTTCCTCCCGCCCGATCTGGCCCCTCCACCTGTCCATGCCCCCCTTATCAGGAGCGAAAGAAGGACGTACACGCACATGAATCCACGCTGGTTTCGAGAGTACGCATTGCCCGAATGTTCGTATCACGCGGCCAGTCTCGCTGATCGAGGGGCCGCGTTCATGTACATAGCTGGGCGCGCACGTCCTTTGTGGGCTCCCTACCTGAACCCGCCAGGGGCGCGTGAGAGTTGCGGGAGTTACACTTCAGGCGACCCCCAGGGAGGGCGAGGTCGTGGCTCAAGCTGCGCGAGACGCCACTCCGCTGGGCCACCCAGGGGCGAAGGAAGGCGGCGACGGTTGCCTTCTGGACAGCACCCGGGAGCGGAGACATGGAGGAGAAAGAGGGGCAGGGGAAAGGAGGAGGTAGAGACGCGAAGAGGGAGGATCGAGGAAGGAGGGTCAAAGCAGGATGAGGATGGCAGGAGGCGGGACGAGCAGGAGGAAGAGGAGAAGGATAATGAGAAGGTGGGCAACATATGCTAGATGCAAAGCGAGGGCCCAACGCGACAAGGGGTTGGAAAGGAATGGTACCTGAGGGGGCAAGAGGAGGTGGGACGACGACGGAATGTTTACCAGCTGGTTTGTCAAAAACGGGGGCTCGAGCACGAGGAGGGTCTTTCTCCAATCAGAGTTTGCCTCTGTAGCGGTCCTAGCGGATTCATATGGTCAGGTGAGGTTTTTCACCGGTTTCCGCGGCCCGCCCGGGTGCCCAGGTGCCCGGGTGTCCGGGTGCCTTATAGCCCTATAGCCTGATTGCCCTGTAGCCCTATAGCCCCATAGCCCAATTGCCCTATAGCCCAATAGCCCTATATCTTTGTAGCCTCATAGCCGTATAGCCCTATAGCCTTATCGAATTATAGCCCTATCGCCTTGGAGCCCCCTTGAGCCAAGATCCGATCAAGTGTGGTGCACACTACTACTCGACCTCACTCTCAACATTCCAAGATTTCCGTTCCCATACCCTTATCTTCCATGGTTGCGAAGAGCGTGCGGATGCCAGGGACGCCAGTTGTGAAAACCCTGCAGCGCGACGTTCGCCAGCGCTTCTTCAGCCCGCTCCACCAAATGGACGACGGGACGGACGACCTCGACTCCCTCGGCCCCCCCACCCGTCCAGAAGTATATATGATCTCGTCGCCAACGGCCCCGAACCATCCTGAAGAGGCATCCTCATCTTCAGGCTCCGTCACCGTCAAGGCGATCACCGACGCCATGGAGAACATCCTTGAAACAGGAAACTGAAAGAGCGGCCCGACCCTAAGACGAAGTCAGTCGAGCCGATCACCCAGCGGATGGACAAGATGGAGCTGAGTGTGAAGAACAGCATGGACGAGATGAGGAAGCGCATGGACGCTTTTGAGCAGTCTGGCGTATCCAAGGACATCGCCAGCAATATCCAGGATAATGACAACAATATCCATCATCTAGCAGAGCATGTCAACCAGACGAAGATGTACTTCGATGGGACTGGCACCGCTCCACCATCGTGGAACAGTTCCCCGGAAACTACGCCTACGGAGGAACGAAACATCACTGCGGTGGTCAGCGGTCTCGCCGACATGCAGGAAGAGGAGGCAACGGAGTGGACTCAAGCTCGGATTTGGGAACTTTGGGAACCTATGCCTACACAGTTGTATGCCAAGAGGGGGCTTCACCAGCATCCTCTTCCTGAAGTTCCGCACGGAGGACGAGAAGAAGCAGGCGATCAAGGCAATTAGGGAGAACTCATTGAAGTACGGGGATAAAAAAGGTCAACATGTTTCCAGACGCGCCTCCGGACGAACGGATCCCACAATCGTTCTTGTTTGTTCTCAGGCGCTTCTTGTTGGAATGAGACTACGATAGGAAATGTGCGTGGGTTGTCATTCCAAGCAAACCTTTGCACGTAGGTGGAAAGAGAGTCAACAGTACTGGCGTGGACAGCGCGGATCCCATATACATATAACGGCGCACCGGGTCCGGGGGCCCGGGGCCGGGACCTCGACCACAAATGTGCGCCCCGGGGGGCCCGGGGGCTCGTCGGGGCTTGCCGGGGGCCTCCCCCGTCAGACAAGACGGCCCATGAAGCGCCCAAGACGGCCCAAGAAACTTCCAAGAGGCCTCCAAGAGGCCTCCGAGATGCTGAAGATGGCCTCCAGACGTCCAAGGAGGCCCCCCAGAGGCCCCGAGAAGCCTCCAACATGCGTCCCAAGAGGGCCCCTAGACGCAAAAATTGGCCCATTCCCTTCGTAAAACGTACATTTTCAACAAAGTTGTCTTTTGGGCTTTCCGACGTTACAGGACGGCCCAAGAGGCGCCCAAGACCGCCCCAAGACGGCCCAAGAAGCTTCCAGAGGGCCCCAGGACAGCCCAAGAGGGCCCCAAGACGGCCCAAGAGGCGCCCAAGATGGCCCAAGAGGGCCCCAAGACGGGCCCAAGAGGGGGCCCAGAGGGGGACCACGAACCGCAAGCTCGAGCCTTCCGCCCCAAGAGGCCGCCAGGAGGCCCCCAGGAGGCCCCTCAAGAGGCCCCAGGAGACCCCAGACGTCCAAGGACGCCCCCAAGAGGCCCCAAGAAGCCTCCAACATGCGTCCCAAGAGGGCCCCTAGACGCAAGAATTGGCCCATTCCCTTCGTAAAACGTACATTTTTAACAAAGTCGCCTTTTGGGCTTTCCGACGTTACAGGACGGCCCAAGAGGCGCCCAAGACCGCCCCAAGACGGCCCAAGAAGTTTCCCAGAGGGCCCTAGGACAGCCCAAGAGGGCCCCAAGACGGCCCAAGAGGCGCCCAAGATGGCCCAAGAGGGCCCCAAGACGGGCCCAAGAGGGGGC